TCTGGCTAGTCTGGCACAATAACAGGTGCCACAGATGTGTGAACCAGTGCTGGCCGGATGGAAGGACTGCAGGCTGTGTATCACAGTGGGTGGCCTTGTCATATGTCACCAGGCAAGGGAATGGAGCACCTGAGGCTCTTGAGAGTTCCCAACCTGCTGGGCTGTGTGTCAGGATGATTTTGTCCACCTGTTCTTTCTCCTGAGCAGCAAGCTTGCCCCTTTAGCAGCCCTCTCACTGTTGCAAAGTCTTACAAAGTACCCTCCTTTCTTTTGCCCTGGAGCAGCCAGTTGTAAGTACTTGTTGTCTACAAGTGGCTGGATTCTCAGTCTCTCTGAGTATTCTGCTGGTGTTTGCTTTTCAGCCCCACTAATCTCCAGAATACCATGTAATGTGGGTTTCTGCTCCTGAAGTAGAACTCCAGGGCTGGGTTTTCAGCAGCCCTGGGCTTCTGTCCCCTCCCCACTCAATTTCTCTTCTTCCTGCCAGTGAGCTGGTGCAGGGGGAGGGCTTGGGTACTGCTGGATTGTGGCTTTGCTGCTTTACCCTTTTCCATGAGGTCTTCTATTTACCCCAGATATAGGCAGTCTGTCACAGTCTTTCTACTTTCTCTTTCAGAATTCATTTTATTTACTGTATTTTCATATTTCATGTGGTTTGGAAAGGAAGTTTTGTCTCACTTCTCATGCCACCATCTTAAAGCCCTTTTGTTTTGGATTTTTGCATCTATTTTCACCTGTAATTTTCTTAAAGCATACTTGCCCAGTTTTGATATCTGGGTAATGCTGGCCTTATGAAATGAGTTGGACATGAGCCTCCTCTCCTCTCTGTTTCTTGGAAGAGTGTGGGGATTCGTATTATTTCATCTTTAAATATTTGGACAGTTCACCAGTGAAACCATCTCATCTAGTCCTGACTTTTTTTTGTGGGACAGTTTTTGATTACTTATTCATTCTTGTTACTAGTAATTGATCTGTTCAGATTTTCTATTTCTTTATGATTCCATCTTGGAAGGTTGGATGTTTCTGAGAATTTATACATTTATTCTAGGTTATCTAACTTTTTCAGATATAATTATTTACATTAGATTTCTATGACCCTTGGAATTTCTATGGTATCAGTCCATAATGTCTCCTCTTTCATTTCTCATTTTGACTTTTCCTCCTTTATTTTCTTGATCAGTCTAGCTAAAATAAGTCTAAGGAAAGTCTAGCCTATTTTGTTCATATTTTAAAAAATCATCACTTGTTTGCAGTAATGTTTTAACATTATATAATTATTATCTTTATCGCTTGTTAGTGTTTATTGCTTCAGGTCTGTTTTTACCTGATGTAAGCATAGCAGTCCCTGCTTTCTTTTGTTTTCCATTTGTATAGAATATCTTTTTTCATCTTTTCACTTTTAGTCTGTGTATCTTTAAAACTGACAGAATATCTTGTAGGCATCATATAGCTGGGTATTGTTGTTTTATACATTGAGTTACTCTCCATGTGTTTTGGTTGGAGAATTTAGTCCATTTATATTTAAAATAGTTTTTGATAGGTACGGACTTACTATTGCCATTTTGTTCATTATTTTCTAGCTGTTTTATAGTTGAATAGGTGTTTGTTGCATTCTTATACTTTCCAATCACTTCTTTATACATTTAAACATATTGAGTCTACTTTTTTATATTACATATTTACATATAATATAAAAAATTCAAGTTTATGAATCCCTATGAAGTCTAATTCTGATGTAGGTTGGTTTTTTTCCTATTAACAGGCATGGTGTTTGTTTCTTCTTGTGTATTTGTGTAGCGAAGGTGTTGTTATATGTGAGCTCATTTTTTAATAAAAATGTATCATGAATTCTATATTTGCATAGAATATATTATTTTATAAAACACAAATTGAACACATTAAATATGTGTAGTTCTTTCAATATCAATTACACCTCAATAAAGCTGTTAAAAATTTTTTCATATGTCTATGGTAGGTATCTGGAAGAGCTATAAATATCAGTTCATTATACGTTAATTTCTCACATGGAGTTTTATGGACCGTATAGTGATTTAGAACTGCAAAATCATATAAGCAATAATATGTGATTATGAATTCTTAGGAGATTTTTACTTTATTCTCTATCCACAGCTGAAGCCAAGACATAATTCATTTTTGCTGCTATCTCTGTGGCATGATTTTTTTTTTTTAGACAACTCTTTAAAAGGTATAGCTCCGTGGGATCCAGTATATTTTTAGGGGCTCTTAGTTTACTTCTCTCTCTCTTTTGATCCTGGTGTCTTGTTTCAAATCCTCTTGGAAGCCATTAAATTTTCAGGTATTGGTAATGCCCCAAAGACATCACCTTCAACACTTGCTAACCCCTCCAAATTTGTGTTTCCTCAAATATTTTACTCTCAAGGATTTATTTCCCTTACCCCCTTAAAGCTAAGATGTTTTTAAGGGGATTTTTTAAATGTTTTATACAGATTTTCTAGGCAAAAAATATATATAAAATGTACTACAGCATATTACTGTTAACAAAAAAATGATTTTATTTTTTATTCAGCTTTTAAACTAGTATTGTCTTCACACTTTTCTCAGGCATGTGTACTCTTATTTCCTGTTACTTCTCTAAAACTAAACACACATAAAAACATATCTATACAAACAAAGGTTCATAGGATTTAAGTAAGATATTTTATACTCATCATTGGTACCTTTTGGTTACTCATCTATTGGAAGAAATAAGGGTTAACATTTAAACCTGACCTTGAACTGGCTCTAATTACTACTTTCTATAATTAGGGAATTCTTTTTGTTTAAAAATTTCTCATTTCAGTATCTGTATAATTGATAAACACCAACCCATCATCATCTGCCTATAGAGATAAAGATTTCCTATGCTTTCTATATCCAGATTATTTATTAAAATCCAGTAATGGAATCCTTCTTGACTACATACAAAACTACTTAGACAATATTTGAGTGGAAAGAGATTAACAGACAAATCAGTAAATAAACAAGGAGGAACATATTACATAAGGTGATCAACAAATGTTAGTGAATATGATTTTTTTTCTTAACATTGGCATTTATTGCTATGAACATTTCTCTTTGGCCTGATTTTGCTCCATCTTGTAAGTTTTAGTATGTTCTAATTTTCATTTGTCTCAAGATACTTCCTGATTTCCCTTTTGATTTCTTCTTTAACTCATTAGTTCTTCAGGAGTGTGTTGTTTACTTTCCACATATTTGAAATTTTTTTCATTTTCCTCCTGTTATTAATACAATTGTGATAGAGAAAAAACTTGATATGATTTCAGTCTGTTGATACTTATTAAGATTTGCTTTGCAGCCCAACATAAGATCTATCTTAGAGAATGTTCTGTGTGCATTGAGAAGTATGTATATTCCAGTGCTGTTGGATGGAATGCTTGTATATGTCAGTTAGGTTCATTTGGTCTGCTCTTTTCCTATTAATTTTCTGTCTCGATGATCTCTCCCATGTTGAAAAGTACAGTATTAAAATCTCCTACTATTATTGTGTCAGTGTCTGTATCTTCTTTCAGTTTTTTAATATTTGCTTTATACATTTAGATGTTCATGATATTCTTCAATACTAGGGTTTCTGTTTTATTCTTTTTCATGGTTTCTTCTTCTTTATTAAACTTCTCATTTTGTTAATACATTTTTTCCCTGATTTTATTTGTCTATGTCCTCCTGTATTTCACTGAGTACTTTAAATTGACTTCATTCAATTCTTTGTCTAGCAACTCACAGATCTCCATTTCTTTGCAGTTGGTTACTAGGGCTTTTTAAGTTTCTCTTGGTGGTGCCATATTTGCCTGATTGTTCACGATTCATGTAGCTTTGCAACAGTGTTTGTGTATTTAAAGAAGCAAACATCTCTTCCCATCTAAGCAAACTGGTTTTGGCAAGTAAAGAGCTTAATCCTGTCACTTCCTCAGTCTGATGGGATTACCTGCAGAGTCATAGTCATGCTAGATTGGAGCTTATTTTAAGGCAGTTGTGGAGTCCACAATGGGGTCCACTGTTGGCAGGCTTGTGGGTCTTGAATGTTCATGGATTTTGTCTGGTCACTGGAAGGACATGACTGCCTCCAGTACCTTATTTAGGGCAGTACTGGAACAAAAGTCAGTTTGCGCATCTACAGCTGAGTCCTCAGATAGCAGGCCTACTACCATGTGCATGAACAGATGTGGCTCCTACCATCCCTGGGAGGGCTGCTGCCTGGTCACTGGATGGGGCCCTTGGACCTGGACCATGGCTGAGAGGAGCTGGAACTGAGTCCTCAGATTGTTTCACAGAGTCCACAGTCAACACTGAGGTCTGCAGACCTAGCTCCAGAGGCATGCATGGGCATATCTCTGACCAGGTGTCTGATGAGCAGGACTGCCTCCTTAACTATGCCTGGGAGGGACTGCAGCTGTGAATAGGGCCCTTTTAGAATCTATAGTCAGGCATGTTGGGTGGGTTTACTTCCAGGGGCTCTCAAATCAAAGCCAATGGGATCTGGAGCTGGTTCACAAGCCACTTCAGGGTCCACAGCTGGAGTGAAGTCTGTGTGCCTGCTATCCAAGGTATAAGTGGGTGACTCCTACCAGGTGCCTTGGCATATGGTATAACAGGACCATGGCTGATGGGGCTGAAGCCTACTCCTTTGTGGTACAGAGCTGCTCCTGGGTCTGAGATCAGGACCACAGTAGGTGAGTCAGCCTCTTGGGGGCAGACCTACCTTCTCAAAATCACTTTTTGTGGTCTTGGACTCACTAGAATTTCATGATTTCCTACCTGGATGCCAAAGCTCCCACAAAGGCATTTTTGAGCATGGATGGTTGCCAGTTAGTCTTGCTAAGGGGGTACATGAACAAGGGTCTCTTTTCCTCCATCTTGCTTACTTCATCAATTTCTTCTTCCTTGTCATTTTGTTCTGTATCTTTTCTCTTCAAAAATATTTATCATTTCAATTTCTTTCCATTTTATTTCCTTTAATTCAGGTGGTCATGATAGAAGAGACAGACATGAATGATGTGCAAGCAATTGGCTGGATTGGGGAACAGTTAAACAGGAGGGACATGAAGAAATAAGTAATATCTTAAGGATAAAGGACACCAGCAGGGACATAAAATGTGAGAAAGATGAAGACAAGAATGAAGCCTATGTTACCGGATTGGAATTGGATACACTGGTGTAAGCTTCTGCTGCTAAGCTTACATTTGGAGATGAATAAACATAGAAATAGATACAGGATATACATGTTTCTGGGTGTATATATTAACTCTGTCCACTGAATATGCCTACCAGCAATGAGCACTTTTAATGTCCAGAAGTTTCAAAAACAATAACAAACAGGAACTAGAGTTGAGAATGAATAAACAAAAGAGGGAAAATATCATTTTTATAGTAAAATGTCAACTAATAAGTTCTATAGAAATAGGAACAGTGGAATTTGAAAAAAAAACAAATTTGGTGAACATTATCATCATATTTTTTTAGGCATTTATCCTCAGTGGATACTAACATTTATGGATGAAAATGTTTTGAGAAACATACTTATGTAGTCTCACAGTATCTCCCACAAGATATGACAGACTATAACAAGATTACTGTGTTAATTACAACAGGCAAAATAGTGGCTTTATAGCAGAGAAACCTGAAAACCATGACTTTCAGTCAATGAACTAAGCACATCAGTGGGACAAATTAGCTACATCATCTCTTGATAAGGTGTACTGAGAAGAACGCAGTATCATACCTATGGTGTTCTGGTCAAATATGCTTAACCTGAATCTAATCACAAATAAATATTATACAAAAACAATATGAGGAAAATTTGACAAAATAACTGGCCTCAGCCTAAAATTGTATCAAGAACAAAAGAAAAGTAAAGACTAAGGAATTATTCCAAATTGAGAGTTTAAGTAGCTATGACTTTTTTAACACATGGTCCCACCAGATTGGGTCCTAGACTAGAATTTATTTATTTATTCAGCCACAATAGATGTCAATGGACAGTTGGTGAAATTTGAATGGGATCTTTGGATTAGATAATAACATGTCAAAGTTCTGGTTTCGATCAATGTACTACAGTTATACAGAGAACGTTTCTGCCTTTTAGTAATTACACACTGAAGTATTTAACAATAATAGTACATCATGCTTTCAAATTACTATTGAGAAAAAATCTAATAGGGAATGTGTGTCTGAGAAGTTATACATGTCTGTGGAAACAGAGAAAGAAGGAGAGAGGTAGAGAGAGAACTAATGTATAATGTTCACAATTGGGAAACCTGGAATTTCACATAAGTTTGATATTACTTCAATATTTTAAAAAACATAAGCATCAGAAAAATGTATAAAAGATCTTAATAAATGGGAGAGAGAAATTCCATAAATATCCGCAATGGAAAGTGATTACCAGAGTGGAAGACTCAATACACTAATATCTATTAGCTTCAATGCAATTCCAAAAAAAACTAAAGCACATTTTTTTGTAGAAATTTATCAACTGACTTATGAATTAATTCTAAAATTTATATATCCGTGCAAAGGGTCAATATATCTAAGGCTATTTTGAAGTGGAAAAAGAAAGCTGGAAGTTGCACAATACCAGATGAATCAACAGTGATTAAGAGAGTGTGGTGTAGGTGCACGGACAGACATACAGCTCGCCGAAATAAACAGAAAACATACTGATCCATATTTGGCACCTGACTGATGACAAAGTGCCACCCCGGCATTGAAATGAGGAAAAGTGGTCTTTTCAATAGTGCTGGATCACTCATTTGAAATCCATATGAAAAAATATGAATCTTCACTCCCACTATACAAAAGCTTTAGAAAAACAGTATAGACCTAAATTTGAAAGTTAAAACATTAAAGCCTTTACAAGTTAACATATGCAAATATCTTTAAGACCCTAGGATAGGCAACAATTTCTGAATAAGCATAGAAGTAAAATATTAAAAGAAACATGGGTAAACTGGATATCAAAAATTAAGAGATTCTGTTCATCAAAAGACACCATGAGAGTGAAAATGAAGCCACAGAGCAATATTCACAAAACATGAAATAATGTATCCAAAAAGATAAAGAACTGCTAAGAGTCAATAATAAAGAACATCCCAGTAAAAAGTCAAAAATCTTGAACAAACTTCACAAAAGAGGATATACAAACGGCCAATTTCATATAAATATATGTAACATCATAGTCAAGTCATAAGAGAACTTTAATTGTATGCTTCATCTACCACTGCACATCTATCACAGGGTCCAAATAAAATAACAACATGATTCTATCAGTTGTTGGTGAGGATGTGGAGAAACAGAAACTTTACTACTGGTGGGAATGTGAATCCGAAATCCACTTTAGAAAACAGTTTGCAGCATTTACTAAAACTGGAAATAATTCACATTACCCCCATCAGTTCTATTCCAGAAATACATGTACATTTGCATCAAAGAGTATGTGCAAAAATTTGTGTAGTATTTGTATTATCTCCAAACTTGAAAGAACCCAAACGCCCATCAATAATGAGATGGAAAAGTCTGCCACATATATAAAGTGAAATACCATTTGATTAACTACTCCTACATGCAATGCCACAGATATGGTATCGATAAAATGAGACAAGCACAAATGATACATAGGTTAGATTCCATGTATGTAAAAGATTAAACATTCAAATTTCATCTATAGTCATAGATGTCTGAATATTTTGTTTGGAGACATCATCAGTAGAGAAATATGGTGTGTTGATAATGTTCTAGGTTTTGATCTAAGTGACAATTACATGGGTGAGTTCATTTTTAGTTCATTTCATAGAGATACATGTTTAATATCTGCATTTTACTGGATGTTGTGTATGTTTCAACAGAAAAATTAAATTAACAATAAGATATCAAGCCCCAACTTACACATAGTTTGGTCAGCTCCAGTGCAGTCTGTGGCTCAAAGAAGATTGATGGCACTAAGTCAGCAGAAATCTATTTATTTAATAAGATAAAGGAGCTGTTATACTTTTGAAAACAAATATCAAAATGTGAAATGCAAATTGATGGCAATGCATGAAGCTCAACATTTAACTAAGAAAACTTTTTAATTTTATGTCTCATCATTTTAAGATTAGCATATTCATACTCAAAGAAAGTTTATGACTTGGACTGACTTATTCCCAAGCTACAAATCCAGGGGTAAAAGTTGGAAAGGAATTACTTAAACAGTGCCATATTAAAGTTCCAATCACTTATTGTTTGAATACTTATATTTCATTTTATTATAGTAAAAATACATAAAACATCATGTTCTAGAAATAAGATGATAAAATGCTTATCAAATATAAAGAAAATATAATTGTACTAGATTATCTCTTGTGTACTTGCCTCTAACATAAATCTTGGAAAGGATAAGAATTACTATTTCTGGAATCTTCCCTTTAGGGCTGTAGGTTAGAATTTGCCAATGAAAGTAATTTGTGTGAGATATGAAAGGCAGAAGTGAAGCAAATGTCATTATTTTCAGAGATCTGTTATGGTGCCTTAATCAGTGACTTTGCAGATGACTTTACAAGCTCACATTGTCCCATTGTGGCAGACATTGCAGATCTTTCCATAAACTCCTTCTTCATGTTCCCAACTTTGGCTAGACACATCCCATTACTGGACTTCTTGAACACCAGCTTTTCCTCCCACGCCTGTGCTTTAGGCCAAGGTTGTTTCACTGACCATCCAGCTGCAGCTTTCCAGTTGTTCACACTAGCTCTTGCTGCCTTTGTGTAAGTTCTAATTCCTTTTATTAAACCTTCATGTCTATAAAATTTCAATGACTCACTTTTACTGAGAAACCACTTTGATATTTCTTATATTGAAATTTTCCAATGTTATTGCCACATTCACATGTTTTTTTATTAAAAGAATGAGATAATTAATGACAAGATAAGTACAATGTATGAATGTGGGCAGTGAAGTAATATTTTCTGTATTCTATATGCCAACTTTAGATTTCTTTAATGGGAATACTTTTAATAATGCAACAATCTTCCTACTTGTAAAGATGAGTCAGTCTCCTTCCTTTATCACTTTAAAAGTCTTTGAAAACTTCATCAGTTGGTTAACAAACTTAATTTACTCCAGGAAAGACTTTTTTTTAAATTCTTGCACTTAATGAAGGCTACAGGAAGTTACTTAACAATAATTTTGGTACTGAAATATATTTATGAAGCATAATAGCTATAGATGTTAAAATTTTGCAGTGTGAGCATTTTGCAATGCTAGAACAATGTCAATTAGCAAAGGTCAAAATGTGTAATTTATGATTAGCTGCAAATTAGAAATTTAAAGTACTATCTGAGTATCTTTGGACACCAGATATTCATGGGTATCATGAGTTTAGTAGTGAAATAGTCTCGAATAGATGTGATCAAAATACTATCTTTCTAATAATACTAATACTGATACTAATTTTTTATAAAATTTGATAAGACTAAGTTACATAAACCTGCATAATTTGAATTAAAAATTAATGAGGAAAGTGAAAGTTTCCCAAAGAAATTTAATTTTATGGTCACAGGTAGGCATTATCTGTTCAAGTTCTCACAATCATTCTTGCTTAAGTAGGAAAGAAAAAACCGTATTAAAAAGAGGCAGAAAACAACACTTATAAACCACTGCACAGCTCCTTTACATATGCTATTTCACCTTTTAAATACCATAATTATTTAAAATAGAGATTATTAGAGCTGCCATTATGAATTAAAGGAACTGAGGTTCATAGCTGAATCAGTGAAAAGTTGGTAAAGGTGAACTTAAGACTATTTTCGACAAAAGCATGTTGGGACTTTTTTTTTAGAGTGACAAAGTAAATTATTTTTGTTAACACAATAATATATAAGAACTCTGAAGTGAGATAGAAATCACTTTCTAATTCTATGAACTTGAACAAGTTATTGACCCTGAGGAGGCACAAAGGATTCCATTTGCATTCCAAATTTACATGATTCAGAGATCTTATCCAATATAAAGTTTTCCTAATAATTTCAAGGATATAATCAAGAAGTATAGGTAATGCAAGAAGAGGTATTGGATCCTGACCGCATCCACCCTGGCCTTTTCTTTTCAAATTATATAATATATATATACACACATAAACTGTCAGTTATATACATCATATACATGATCTATATCATTTAACAATGATACATATACACACATATATATATATGTCCACAGATTAATATAACAATTATATGTACAT